GAAGGGCGAGCTTCCAGCCCTTCATCCTAGCAATGAGCTTGTCGCAGATCGGCTGTAGATCATTTTCCTCAGTTTCTTGTCCGCCAGCGGCATGCCCAGGTAGGTGCAAGGGAAATCCTTGACGGGGCAGCCCAAGTCTTCAAGAAGCTCCTGGAGGTCGATCCCATTGCAGCAGATGGTGGAGACCGATGATTTTGCAAAGGTAGTGCGCAGGCATGTAGCTTCTCCCATGTCATATATCATCTTCTTTTTTGTTCATGTCAGCATGTCATCCTTATTATTGAGTAGAATCATGAACAGTTTCCCTAAATTATATGGTCGTTTTGGCCTGTAAAAAGCTTAATCAAATTTACCACAGTATATATATCACCAGAATATTTTGGGCTTACGGTATATACTAAAAAAGGTGTCTAAATTTTTGTGTGATCTATGCCTACTTGTCAAATGTGTAAAACATCTAGCAGAAGTGCGTTAGGCTCGCTTTTCCACAGCTTTATGTGACGATATTATCACAAATCACTGCAATTCCAAGCTAACCCGTAATCGAATTAGTTTTACTTACTTCAGTTTTTTATTTACTTTCATCTCAGGTTAACAGCAGCCGAATGCAACTCGTAGCTAGAGGAAGATATGTCTAGATCCATACATATGTTCTGCATTTTTTTATACTTCATAGAACTTACAGTGAAAATCAAATTATTTTGGCAAAACTAATTAATATTGAAGAGAAGCCACTGAAACATGTATATGAAAATCAAGATACAGTGGAAATGTGCACATAATTCATTCAGGAGTAGATATTGTTTTTATAGTTATCATTTATATAGCATTGTCCGATACAGAGCCCCTTCACTTTTGTCGTGTAGGTTCAAAATTTGGATCAGATCTAGTCGCCCCACTTGAGCACAGGCTGACCCTAATAAGAGCGTTTGGATCACTCCGTGATAGGAAGCAAACCTTGCACCATAATAGTACCATGTTAGATCTGTCCATCGTATAGTTTCTACAAACGAAACTAGGTTAGCTCTGCATCCGATATGTGTGCCATTCCAAAAGGAACAGACAAGTTTCCACGGTGGATATGGATTTTATACATCACTTATCCATCACCTGGAATCTGAGCCATGAGACCAACAAACTTATGGAAGGGGAGATGAACCTACTCTGCTATCATTTCTGACCAAAAGGGCGCATGTTCTGTTCCTTTTTAATCCTCCTGAACCAGAGAAAACATATCTCCACTACTACCTTATATTTGGACAAAATATATCTCCCCTAGCTCCTCCTAATAAGCTGGGTGGGTTTTCACCCTTTTCCAAGAGAGGTACCCCTGGTTAAATACGATAAAGAAAATTTGCAAGAAAGGCAATTTTGTTCCATCTATGCTGTGTTGCATACGAGAATCTGCATGTATCTTGTCCTTGGTAGTAGTTCGAGGGATACATGTAAATAGTGGTATACAGCGTGCATACACTGTATTAACACCTGCATTAACACCTAATATAGTGTATTATACTACAATAGTGGTATAATATAAGCCCAGCGTTCCATCATTGGTAGATTATGATAAATATAAATCCCAACCCACCAGGGTTTAAGTCCTGATGCTCGCATTTATTGATGAATTTATTTTAGGATTTCCGGCGATGCGCATTTAGTGGGAGGAGACGTTCTTGTCGACGACGAGGTGTCTACGGTGACTTCGTAAATTTTAAGATGATATGCCGGCTCAGTCTTTCGAAGGTGCTCATAGGGGTAGGGTGTGTGTGCGTGCGACCGTGCATTCGTAGGGGTGAGTGCATGCACGTGTATATGAGCGCTTGCGTCTATATTGTGTTAAGAAAAATGATAAATACAAATCTTTGAAAATCTCTGCCTCATAGGGTTGGGTGACAACGGAACAATGCTAATAGTTCTTTCTTTTCAAAATCTTTGTAGAGGTACAGATAATTCATGGCAATAGTCTACAACTGATGGTGCACATTGTTTGTTCCTAATGTCTACAACAGGCATTCAATCAATGTACGTTTGCTTTCTAAGAAAGAAGGACATCAATGTACGATGAAATTCCCAGCTCTGCAGCTTTTTGTAGTACTAAATATTCTTGAAGTGGAAGTTGTATGGTATACCACTCAGTAAGGATCTGTGCGAATTTTTCAAATACTGTATCAAGTATATATGTGTGAACGTTTGATCTATGATGAGTACTTAGCACTTTTCACTTGGAAGTTTAAGAGTCCAGGCAAGAGGTACCAACCCATTTTTGCATGGTCAGCATATTTTTCCAGTGATA